ATAAACCTAGGAGCTACATGCAAGCAATACAAAAATAGTACTTAATCCAACAAGCAAAAGACAAACGTTATTAACTTTTGTCTTTCATTGCAAAACAAACACAGACACACTTGCTTTTAACAAATTACTGCAAACCTCAACAAACATTTGAATCGTTCAACTTCAACAACTACTATAATTAGAAATACAAGTAAGTTTTCCCTATGTATCGTGAAAAGTCAAATATTGATAAAAACCTGTTAGGATAATTTCTGCAGGATTAAAATGTCAAATACGATGTAGCTCTTGTTGCTAATTACAGAAAAATTGTTTTATTGTACCTGTTTTGAGACATATTTCTTTACCATCCTTTTATATGATCCTCTAGAAATTCAATAAGGAATTAGTTCATAAGGGTTCTTTTCTTCGATGGTCTCACAATATTTAAATAATAGTTTAGAAATTTAGTGGCATACGCCAGAAAAGATGAAGAGAAAATTTCACTTTTTAATCTCGACAGTTCTTTTTGCACGAACATGAAGTAAATCTTACTTTGCCCTTTCTTACGTTCTGCCTTTGACAATCAATTGTAAGTGTAGATGTATTGATCGTCTACTAATTCTCACCCAGTTTATTGATAGTGAATAAAGAAAGATTTTGACAGCAAAGAATATATTTCCTTTTTTTTGAACAGAGACATGATTTTTAGCATGTAGGAAGATGACAGAATGTAAACGTGCTTTTTTGCATTCGAAATACCATCTATGAGATGACATTTTGTTTTAAAAGGGTTCAGCCTTTTCTTTTATCAAAAACTTATTTTCGTTCAAGAACAATCCCAATTTTACCAAAAGTACCAGAAAATCTCTATTAGATTCTAGCAAGTTCACACTAAAAAGAATGAATACAGACTATTTGAATGGTATTATCTCCATCGTCGAATTCATTTCAACATAGTCGAATAGTGTATGAATGTGAACGTATATGAGTATTGGTATGTGCGCGCATGCGGGTGTGGATGTGAGTATTCGAGAACGGAGATCTTTTCTTCACGAAAACTGCGGCCCCCATAAAGCATCAACCACATTCTTCGACTTGAAACTAAAGAAAATAGAATCTGCTATTGAGAGTACACTAGCCATAGATAGAATTGGTACCACTATGGATTTAGTTGATAACTTGAGAGAGTTTACAATGAAACAAAATTTCATTGTAAGAATCGATCTATTATAGGTAGACCGGTTCCATCTATGATACTAACTATAGCCTATGAAATAGATGCTGCAATCTCTAATATATTCAGATATCGAGCGATAATTTTAGCAATTTTTTTGTTTTAATGGACTTTTTAGAAGAAACTGATTGACTCATCTCACACACATGTAATCACTTTTATTTTCTTACACCACGTTTTGTCTAGATATATTAGGAGTTATTCCATCCTGCATCTGTAGAATTTTGTGTATATGTATGAGTTCAGTTTATTAGTGATATCTTGGTTATGATGACAAGAAGAAGAAGAAAAGATACAAGAAGAACAGTTAGAGAACGAGATAATGAAAGCAATATCTGACGACATTGTATAGAACGAACACGAACATATATAAGAATACAATGGGAAAATTCCCAATATGACCTAAGATGACACAGTGGGAAAATTCCTACATTAACAGTATCCATATTTGAATAGCTTCATATCCAACGAACGAGACATATACATCATATAAGAGACTTGAATGTTTAGAAACGCAGCCACAACCATTCACCGTTGTCATTTTTCTAATTAAAATCTTAGGTTTCATCCAATAAACATCACATAACATGCATTTTATCGATATTTGGCTGGGCCTTATTCTGCTTGGAATTAGCAGTGGACTAACAATCACTAGGCGCAGGTAAGAAACCAAATAAGGAAATAGCTATATACGTTTCTCATTATTAAATTAAAGTGTGCTCGACACTCTCAGAGAAGACATCAAGAATGGACATATACCAATGAAAGGTGTCAATCTTGGTGGTTGGCTCGTTGCGGAAAACTGGATGACAAAAGGATCACCAGCCTGGAACGGAGTTCCTGATGACATTGCCAACAAGGGTGAATACCAAACGATGCAACATCTCGGTAATTATCGTTTCTCAATTGTTTCATAAATCTCATCGTCTTTCTCTTGTAAAGGTCATGCTAAAGGTGATGATCAATTTAAACGACATCGCGATTCATTCATCACTGAACAAGACTTTCGTGATATCTCTGCTGCCAAGATGAACACTGTTCGAATTCCTGTTGGATACTGGATCACAGGATTCGACAATAGCGGTGGTGGTGATCCAAACGGATGGCGAGTATTTGCTCCTAATGCAATCAATTATCTTGATCGTGCCATCCGAGAATGGGCACCACGATACAGTCTGGTCGTCTTAATTTCATTTCACGCTGCCAAAGGTAGTCAAAATGGAATGGATCATAGTGCACCATCTGATCCAGGAAAATCACATTGGGGAAACTATCCGGAAAATGTTCGAAACACCTTAGATGCTGTCGAGTGGTTAGCACGAAGATATAACAGCGATGCAGCATTTCTAGGCATTGGTCTGCTCAATGAGCCGTCGGGTATATCCTTCTTCATATTTTAAATTTGTCATTTCATCATTATCCTATTGATAGGCACAACACCAGAAAACGTATTGAAACAATACTATTATGATGCCTATGGACGTATTCGTCTTTTTTCCAATTGCCTTTTAGTTGTCGCTCCTTTACTCTATCAGCAGGGACCTTATGACAGCGATTGGCGTAATTATATGAGTCCGCCTAATTGGTACAATATTCGTCATGAATGGCATCGTTATCAAATTTGGGGTTTTGAGGTAAATAAATTTTTGTATCTCTAATATCTTATACTCTTTTGTGTGCAGGGTTGGGACGAGAATCGACTGATTTCTTATGCACAAAACGACCTAAAAAATGCTGTAAATGCATGGACAGGTAATTGGTTATTCATTGGTGAGTGGTGTATTGCATCATCGGCTAATTTTAACAACGACGATGATCTACGTCGCTATGCTCAAGCCCAACTCGATGCATTCAAAGGAGCCACCGGTGGTTGGACCTTTTGGACATGGAAGTTCTATAATGATGATGGCTCACGAAATGGATGGAGCATGAAAGCTATGATCAATCGAGGTTTCATTCAACTTTAATCAATGGTTGGAAGAGATAATCCACCGAAGAAATTCACCCTATTTAAACTGACACTTTTACATCATACAATATTCTCACTCTCTCTCATCTTTTTTCAATCAATCATTAATATAATAAATATGTAATTCATTTTCCTGTCAATGCAAATTTTCTTTCTCATTGATGTTATGGCATACAATCAATCATAGATTCTTTACGCTCTGATCTTTGAAGTGAAGATTGTCATTCTACTGCCATACACAACCGCTAATAGATTGTGCCTAGAAGTATACGAGACAGAGCTTATGGGATTTTCCATTTCAAACCGAATTTTAAGATAAAAAAGGCTCCCTATTTCCTAAACTGTGACAGCTTAGCGTGTTTAAAAAACAGCAACTCGTTTCTTACAACATCATGCGCGAAAGATCTCACAACTAAACAAAATACGTTCATAATAGCTAAACAGTTAGGTTTGCTTTTGAGATACTCGTGTGTATAAGCACAGTCTATTAATGGCCACATCTTTTCGATTAGCTTGATGATTGACGTCTATTCTTCATGGCGAAAATAGTGCTGTGACTAAAATTTTGACAATAAAATCAAGTTCGGTATCAAAAACAGAGTCGAAAGACATAGATATCAACCAAAATTATTTGCCGAGAAAAAGATATTCAAAGATCCTTGACGTGAGTTATTTTTCTCGAGATTTCTCCCTGCTGTTTCTTTGAATTGTATTTTAGTTGGCAAGCCTTTTTCGCTAAAGTATAGATTATGTATTATCCGAATCTGCTTTTGATGATTAGTTTTGTCTTTCTGTCGGAATTTTATTTCAAATATTGTTTTGTGATATAAAAGATTATCAAAGATTAGTTGTAAAAATGTCTTTTTTTAAACATATTCTAACCTAAGTATTTCTTAGTAAGAAAAGAAAATTTATCAAATGAGTATATGTATTTTGTACAGTGAAAAAAGACATATCTAATCATAATATCTAATATCAAAAATATTTATGGACGGAAAAAAGTTTTCATTGCTATCCTTAAATTACATATAGCTGCGTTACAAAAAAACGATAAGTCATATTGACTTCTGATCATTGATAAAAAAAAAACAAATCTACTTATGAAGTTAAAAAATCAAAGCATGGCATTTTCGATAATGAAACGAACAAAATAATTGATATATTTCAAATTCATTGATTAAAATGTTACTTTTCATCAATGAATTTGAAAAACATCAATTTTTATGTTCGTTTCATCATCGAATATGTCATTTTTTTCGTGTCTTTGGCAAATGATTTCTATTTTATGCCTTATCTAACACAAATAAACAGATCTTATCGTAGTATTCAAGTCAACAAGCAGTAATAATCTGATAGTTACGGTTTAGACTTACATCTTCTTAGAGAAGATCAGTCAATTGTCACCGAAGTATTGCAACATGATTGGAAGACGATGCCGAAAAATAGTCGTGAACGAGAGCATTCAATCAAGTCTCCAGGAAAGAATCATTGAAAGATGAATATAAAACAATAAAGAAAAGAATTATCAGCAAAAGAATGATGGAATAGTAAAGTGTGACGAATTTCTATTCTTTTCTTTTTACCACTAATCATTCGCAATACTTGAGAAAATTCAAATTGATATTCAATTGCATCATAATTTAAGTACTATCAAAGTTACAAATGCGTTTGTTAATCCGCTAAAAGTACCGATCTCAATCGATAATAACAGAGAGATTGCTGTTTGCTCTTGCACATACATAGCCTTGTTCATTGTCAATCAATCTAATCACTATATGTCCATGATCTAAACTTTATTTTTAATATTCATAATCGTTTATGACCAAAACTGATTGGTAATCCATTGTCTTCTTCTTGATGCACAAGGAATGTGAATTGCCGCACTAGATTTCAATAATAAATTCCTTTTTTGTCGTCATTGAAAGATCTTTTACACGATGATATTCAATTTCAATATCTGATTCGAGAATAATGATAAGATTTTCCTATAAGATAGTCGATCTAATATATATTCAACGATTTATGTTAGTTGTCATTTTTTATTCAATAGCATAGAAGAATAGATGCCGTTATCAGTATTGAACAAGTTTTGTGAAATACGATCTAAAAGAAGTGCTGAATTATATAGGCTACAAAATTTGCATTCACCCACCGGCCTCCCCTACAGACCGTAATAGACAAATGAACTAATTAATGAAATCATAAGCTAATTAAATAATTAATTCAATGACGAATTAATTGCCTAAATCTTCTGAGAATATATAACCTGCGTCTTAATTGCAATTCTAGAAGATTATGTAAAAGATGAAGAAAAAATGGATCGTAAGATAGATCGAATAAAATAATATTCGCTTGATTAGTAACAACAGCTACGTCGTGTTTCACATTTTAATCCCGTAGGGACTGTGCTAACAGCTTTTCTAGTTTCCCATTGGACCTTGATGCTCATTCTGATGAATGGCAACGTATCGATAATATTGGCACATTTGGTGCTGGTGAAAATCCAATTGATGTGACTGATGATTTAATTAGCGATGAGAATGAAAATATAAATCTTCATGATATCACTGATGATGAATCTGAAAATGATTCTGATGGTGATATCCACTTCTCATAATTGTCTACTAATGACGATGAATTATCTGATATTGATCATAACAAATTAGTTATTTTTGTGTTTCAATTGATGAAAAAATTAGATCTGAGATAAAGTTTATTCGAAATCATAATTTTACTAACGAATATATCGTTAAATGTATCAAAGAAACCAACAATAATCAAAAGGTCGGTGGATTAGTTCTCAATATGTCAATTCAACGAAGTAGTTCCTATCTACTATTGGATCATTTGCTGCTGCATTGAGATACTGTTATGAATGATTTTCTCACTTTCAAATAATTTCATTGGCTTAACAGAAAAGCAAAAGAAAACACTTTATGAATTAATGCTTAAACAAAATGAATGGAATCTTTAAACTAATTTACGACGTATTTTACAACCATTTCAGATCACAACAACTGATCTTTCTAGACAAAATTGTTCAAACATGCCTTCAACTTTTTCATTTAGTGTTTATTATCTCAATTTCTGCAATCTTCAGTAGATGATCTACCTATTGTAATCACTCTGAAACAGAGTCTTCGATTCAGATTGAAGGTTTGGGTTTAGACATAACACCCAAACCCATACCCACATCCACACCCACACAAAGACTTGATTCGATTTGGGATTTTTCATACCGAAAACTTGCAATCTTTATGTAAATATGAAAGGATTTGGTGCACTATGGAATGCGGTGTGGAGTTGGGATTGTGGAAGTGGTTACAGGTGCGAATGTTAGTGCAGAAAGGACCATATCCAACACGAACGGATTGACAGAAAAGAAAAACACTAAATAGACACATGTCGAAAAACAAATAGGAAAGGGCTAAATAGGCACATACAGAAGACAAAAACAGAGAAAAGGAAAATGTCTAAAGGAAAACTAGCATTAAACTAAATGTCGAAATGAAAATATATGAAACAAAAACACAGAACGAAAACTGTGGAATAGGGTATGAATTTGAGTGTCGGTGGGCATAAGCGTGTGGATGGCGGCATCGGTATATACCTCTTCTGCACCGACACATCCACATCCATTCGAAATGCGTTGCTCAGCATTATTATCTAATACCGTATATATTTTTTTTGTTAAAATAATACAAAATAAAACAAAAAAAAAACGAAAAAAATCTTATTTATTTAACTCTAAAAACAAGATTATTCCCTTTCTAATATGTTTTTTCTTTTTTCTTAGCAAAAGAAAGCTTTTATTCTTTTTCTCATTTTTTTTCAAACAAACTCTCTAAAAAAACAAGCTCATCTTCTAATATTCAATAACTGTAATCTTTTATTTAAACATCTCACAGAAAATCAAGCACATTTCTTTATATCAAAAGCATTTACAAAAGGATGTTTATCCTTGTTTGTTTGTTTTTTTGACAACTCATTCTAAATCAGCTTCTTTCGTTTAAACTTCACAAAAAACATTCAAAACAAGATGAAAAAAAAGCAGTTTCAAACTTTAAAATAACAAAAATCACTTAAAGAAATCTATAATTCATAAAACAAGAAAAATCTATTTATTCACTTATTTACTTTTCATTTTTTTTCATATCCATTCATATTTGTTGTTGTTGGCTCTTTTTTTTGCTTTATTGACATTGAAGCCAAATGGATTTGTCTTACTATGAGAAAAAAGAGCGTTAAAAAAAAGAAAATTGAACGTAATGATGATAATTTTTTTTCTAGACAGGCGGCGAATAAAAAGTTATAATTGTTTCGCTCAAATTTATTGATAAAAGTCGAAGCAACAGTAGTAATAGTGTCATTTTTGTTTTGTTTTATCATTCTTGCCTTCGGTTGTCGTTGTTGTTGCTGTTTCTCTCTCACATGTAATCCCATTCTTTCTCTCTCTTTTTCTCTCATTTCGAACAAAACACAGTTCGTGAGATGGTAGGTTTTAGAAGCAATTCGTTAAACGACTACAACTATTACGCTTACCTTCATACAGAAATCCACGATGATCTATTATCGTGGCTCGCTACGATTCCTCTCTCGCGACCAGTGTGGGATTTAGGAGAAGACTTTTCGGATGGTATCCTAACGGCTGACATTATCCATTATTTCTTTCCGCACTTGATCGATTTGGATACAATTCATGTAGCTCGAAATATGGCACAGCGTACGGCTAATTGGCATCATTTGAGCACCAATGTATTGTCGAAATTAGGCTTGCATGTACCAAACATGATCATGGTTGACATTACAAATGGAGTTCATCGTGCTGTCGCACTGTTTCTTCTTCAGTTACGACAAACATTTCAAGAATATTCGATTCGTATCCAGCAAACATCATATTCACAATCGAAGACAGGCCGTTCATACAATGTTGAACAACATCGTTTGCCGCAAATTCAAACGACAACAAGACAAGTTGCCATTCCACCTGGCAGTACACGTACCAATTCGTCTGGTATTACAGGTGCTAACCATAGTGTCGATTGTCTAGCTCCCTGTAAAGAAGCATTGCGACTTAAAGACGAAGAACTCTGTGAACTTCGAGAAAAAGTGAAAACATATGAAAAGCTGCTCCGAGAAAAAGTAAAACTGTATGAAAAGCTTCTTCGTACTAAAAATAATCGAATTCAAGAATTGGAAATGCGACTTGGAAAGGTGAAAGTTAAACGACGACCGTAGCCATAATTGATAAGACATAGAAGAACCATTGAATTTTACAATTAATAAGCAACCATTGATCTGTATTCTCATATAAAATGGAACTTTATTTAATAAAGAAAAATAGAGAGTGAGTTTTGTATAGTCATGGATTCTACTGTCCATACTTTAATTTCTTTGTGTTGAGTGGTTGTAGAAATAAGATCGACTAGAATGTCGATTCTAGACTCTGGTAAAAATGTAATTCTAGTAGAAAATATGTTGATATACTACAAAAACGATGATTTTCTGTTCTTGTTTCTCGTGATACTGTTAGTTTGAAACTAGAGATTAAATGAACCGTGTTTTCTAGCACTCATGCTACTGGAGCTTCATATGGATTCAAAGAAATTGATGAGGTTATCATGTTTACTATGAATACTTGTCAGCCTTAACGTGAAGTGGTTTTCAAGAAAAACAACGAACATGACTTGATTCTGTTTCACTACAAATATGTGATTGAATAGCCTATACAAAAAAACCCGATATGATGCTATATTTTGATTTATGCTCTACGCCTTCTCAGTAGGAAAGAACAGAATACAAGTGTTTTCATGGTAAGGTTTGAAACACGTTAGAGATGATTTCTCACTTTTTTTGAATAGATTTATTTTCTGCAGAATTATTCAAAACAAATCGAATACATATTTCTCAATATGAGCAGTAGGTTTTAATAAAATTTTCGTAATTTTTTAAATTGAATTAAAAGTTACCACGCTGTAATAGTTGCTAAGTATTATAAATATGTTGGTTTTCCTCGTTGAACTCTCTGTCAAAGAGGGTTTGAACATGTCTTTGGACTCTTCATTCTATATGAACTAGTGAATTTTCATTGAAAAATAATATTTTCTTCCAACGTTCGTTAACCTTTGCTCGGGATGAGTCGCAAGAGAAGCTATGATTCAGATAAGTTCATTATTGGCAATTTTAAGTCAAGGCTTGTTAATCGATCCGTTATGGACCTATTTGCTTGTATATCGCTTGGTGAGTCATTCAAATTGTTGTATTCCATTAATGGACGTATACTGTTGTTGGTTCCGTTTAATGTGGATAAAGCATTATCGTTAGATGAACGTGGATATGAATGAGGTGTGTAATTTACCTACGGATTCATTTGTCGATGATAATCAGAGTGTTGCTGTTTTTCGTTTACTTCACGATGATTACGTTGGTCCTTGTTCACCATGTAATTCAAATCGAATGCTTCATATTGTAATTTATCATGTTGATGATGTTGCTGTTGTTGTGGGGCGCCAGGTGAAAGACGAGGACGGGATGAAGGGTTTCTGCTTGAATGCATAGTGGGTTCACTATCTTGCACTAGCTGCTTATTTCCTTGTTAAAGATTATGGAAGAGAAGGAAATATTTAAATAGTGAAAAAAAGAAATAAAAAAAGAAAATTTATCGAGCCGGTGTATAAGCTTATACGTTCTATGTGTGATAAAGAATCGAATAGAATATATACCAAAATAGTGGTTATTTGGATTATACACTCCGAGTAGGGATGTGCAGTTTCGGTGAAAACAGTGAATTACTGACAGTATGCCACTGACACTGGTGTTCACTGAATCAGTACATACACTGACACTGGCATTCACTGAATCAGTACATACACTGACACTGGCGTTCACTGAATCAGT